CAGTCTCAGGTCAACAGGGGTCTTCACGTGAAGGGAGGAGCTTGGCTTTATTGCTTCTAATTAGTCCAGAGTAGGAGATAAACTGGACTTGGCACATCAAGACCTCTCACCAGTAAACTTCCCTTCACAGCAGCAACTTGTGTGGGCACCAGCACCTGCAAAGCTGCCCCAGTCCCTCCAAGGACGGGTGGATGTTATTGGGGGAACTGGAATGGATGTAAGGAATTAGGAACCAGGGGGGTTTTGCACAGTACCAGGCTCAGTAAACCAGTCAGCTGCAAACTGGAAAGCAAGACCAGTAGGCTTTGGCACCCAGCAAAATATGGCAGCTGTGAAACCCTTACCTTTGTATTTTAAACTGATTGTGTATGCTGCCAAACACAGCCCAACGAGCTCTGTCTTGAAACTATATATAAAGTAGATTTCTGGAGGAAACAATCATTAGATGGAATAAATAAATAAATACCCTGCTTTGAAGTGATTTTAATCTAATTTGGCTGCAGGATAGAATTTTAACAGCTCACATACTGCAGGATGCTCTATGAAATAGTTAGCAGGTTTAGACACATGAACAGGGTTTTTTTTTTTCCCTTCTAAGATTTATTAATCATCAAATCAAAGCATGTTAAGCTTAAAAGGGATGTGCAGTGCTTGGGATTTGGGGGTCACTCTCACTTCCCCACAATGACTGTTACGTTCAGCCATACCTGCACATCAGGGTCCAGACAGCAACGTCCCATGCACTGGTTTTCAGAGTAAGTCCTGTCACCACCAATGCTCACCAGGCAGGACAAAGAACTCACCTCCACCCATTGCCCAGGGACACCCCCCCTGTAGAGCTAAGAATCAATTACAGTAAAATTTACCATGATATTGCTTTTCTGGACTAAAAAGACATATTCTTTTCTGCCTGATATTCAACGTGTAGCATCGCTTCTGCCAGAGCCACCGCTCCCCAGGCCAGGGGGTACTTTTAGAAGCTAGAGTAAAACCTAGGTATAGAGCAACGTGGTACTCTTAGGAAACTTCTAACACAGCTTTATCATTATATAAACAGACCACATATGCAGAGCTCTTGCCAAGTTTTAGCTACGCCAGTCTCTGAAGCTCCCAAGAGGCCTTACAGGGTAAGCACACAATGGAAACACTCCCTGTAAACCACCCTGGATCGGTGAAATATGGGAAGCTGAGCTGGTTGAGAGGAAAGCAGGCTGCTGAAGTCTAAAGTTAGGCCCTGAACGTAAACATGCATGTTTGAAATTCCACCATTAACTGCAGGAATTGTTGACAAAGCCTGGGGCCGGGAGGAAGCAGGAGCAGCCACCTCCACACAAAAGAAAAGCTCCAAACTATTCCAAGTTTCCAGCACCCTGGGGTCCCATAAGCCATGTGAGGGTTGTTAAGCACTTGGAGCTGGTTGATACACTTCACTTCTCCTTATTCCCAAGGTAGTTCCATGTAGTTCCATGACCGCCAGCGGGATTTACAGCGCATGTGGCACGTTCCAAGTTCAGCATAACATAAATGCTGCAAACAAAAACCAAAACTAACTCTGGTTGTGAAGCTGCTTTGGTACAAATGTCTGTTAGAGCTTGCCAGGAAACATAATTGAATCCTGGCCAATTTTCATGCTCCAAGGGAAACTCAGTGTCTCATTTACCCCCTGGCAGGCTGCTCAAAACCAAATGAGGCTCATTCCTCTTCCCTCTCCTGAAGTAACCTAAAATCTAAGGGGTTCAAGAAGCTGTTTGTGCGACCTGCACATGCTGAACCCCCATGGCCAACCTCAGCGCTCGATACGACTCCTTCCAGTCAGTCATGCCTCAACGGACAGATCCCACAGGCTTCCTGCCTTAAAACTCCCCCTTTATTCATGGGCAGTTCCCAGCATGGCCCTTTCCCAGGATTGCTGAAAAGCCAGAGATAAATCTTACTGTTTCCTGGAACAAAATTACCAGACTAGCCCTGTATTCATCACAGGCTGGTATCACATCCTCTTTAATGTTTTATAAATGGAAAACTGCAAAATAATGTGCACAGAGGTAGTCTTTTGAGATGGCAATAAATCACAATAGCATCGAGTGTACTTGGGGAGAAATAAATAGGAAGAGTGAACAATAGAAAGTCGCCTTCTGTGACAAGCAGAATGCACTGTCAGCATCTGCCAGCACAGGACCTCTTGGCTTTCTGCATTCAGATGGACCTTTGCTAGAGTTTCCATCAAAATCAATTTTGGCTCCTTGCAGTTTAATTAACTATGATTTTGCTTGTAAACCGTTTCAGCTTTCAGGCTGACCTCCATTTATAATGTTAGGCAGGCAACAAAATTAAACAGTTTGGAGGGGAAGGCAGAGGGAATTTAAATGTCTGTGGGGTGCTCTGGGAGAGGGGAGGCTCCTGCTGCAGCTCTGCTCCTCTCCCCAAGCTGCGATGCCAGCGCTCAACAAGGAAAGAAATGAAGCAGCTTTGGGGCAACAGCACTTAAAATGGAATATTGTTCATATCACACTCCTCATGCCCAAGGGCTACCACTAAAGGCTTCTAGGTGAGCAATTTTGAACAGGATGTTGTGCAGTAACAAAAGCCGAGGCGGCGGCTCCCGGCTCCAGGTATTGCCACGTGTGGCATCAGCTCCATCAAATTCCCTCTTTGCATAAAGCTGCAGCAAGCCCAAGGTTATGATCTTTGCGTTTAAAAAGCCTGGGTTTTTTTTTAGGTCAGTCCCAAGAGATTGTTTTAAAACACAGTCCTACGCATCTGCTGAAGAGGAGAACAGTTGGCTTGAACTGTAAGATGGATTTTTACATAGCTTCTGACCTTTCATCTAATTGAGGCCTAAAGAAGAAGGAGAAAAGAGGAAAAGCGATACGTCACTTCAGTTATTAAAATCCATCAAGCTCAGACTTTAGCCTTGGGATAACCACAGCCAAAAAATTGACTTGCAAGTAATTATCACTGCTATCTGCAATAAAAGTTAATTGGACATAATTGAACTAAAGCCCTAATCTGAATGAAGCTGTTGCTGGCAAGCAGCCTGCTCCTGCCTGCACTCTGCAAATGGAACTGCTAGCAGTAAAATGGACAAACACGAGCCTGCTTTTACAGCACATCACAGCAGTTCTGCAAACAGCTCTTTAACTGGGCCAAGACAAAGCCATTAAGAGGGCCTGTCCTCACCAAGCACGCCCTGCGACGCTCCCCAAAGCTTCAAAACCAAGTTTCAGTTTTACTGACCTCCTTCATTACATGGCCTGAAACGTAAGATTCATGTCACGAGATGCTGGTTTCATCAGCTCCCCGGCGCTGCGAAGAGCAGTACAAATAACGTGCTTTTCGAGCACATAAAGATACCAACTCGGTTTGCAGTGCTGATAATTTACCACCTTCATGCAGTTCAATAGCCTTTCCTGTTGCAGGACCAGCTTCTTTCATCTCCTCAGCAGAGCAGACAATTAGCTGCTTTCTCTCCTCAGCCCATGCAGGTGGCTGGGGGAAGGGAGCGTTAAACTGAATTCCTGCTGATTTGTGCATTTATGTTTTGCATTTTTGTTAACTAACAGACCAGAAAGCAGTCGTCATCCCCACATACTACTTTAGAACTTCCTTCCAATTTTAATTATTAACACTCTGCCCTTCACCAAAGCATATCAAAGCACTTAACAAACATTACCGAAGCCACATAATCACTCTGAAACGGGCAGAAATTGCACATAACTCCTTTTACAGAGGCTTAAGGTTATTTTTGACCAGATTTATGTTAGAAGACTGGTCTCCTGATTATGGGCTAGTCTGTGACAGAAGAGATTGAGGGAGGTATCCAGCTCACCACAGGTTCCTGACATAGTTTGGGATGAAGCATTTAATCACCTGATGCCACGGTCGCTCCTTGTTAAAAGGACAGCAGTGAGTGACAGTTTCCTGCCTCGGAAGAAGCCCATGAAGATAAATGAACTTGTGGAGCATTCAATACCACCTTGGCTTCTCACAAAGTCATGTTCCAGGCAGGCTCCTGGGGAGGACTGAAGCAAAGCACCCCTCCCTGCCCTGAGTGCCATTTGCTCACTACGGCTCCTCTGCGTTTTCACAGCTCAGAACAGATCTGCTTCGCTCAAGAAAGCTGCGACAGAGAACCAGTGACATCAATTCCCTTTCATGACCCAAATCAGTGGCTTACTTTACTTTGCTCAAAGCCCTCACCTCTTTTTAAGCCTATTTTTAGATTTAACTCTGTATTCTGCAGTGTGGCAGGAGCTGACAGACAACACAGGCGCTAAGTAGGTCTTGCCAGGTGTTGCAGGCTGCTTCTAAAGGTGAAGGAAAGATGTAGAAAAGACAAGTCAGGACGATTGCAGGGCCTGGCCAAAGCTTCAAAGGAGTATTTTCTGGCTGTGCTTGAAACACACATGCTAGTGGTCAGCTATGAGACAGATGAGATACTACTTTTACCATGGGAACATATGCAAGAAATAGGAAAATCCACCTGCCTGAAGTCAGAAGTGATTTGAATAGCTTTGTATCTGCCTCCTCTGAATTTTTACTACACTAAAGCACCCTGACCTTTAATTTTCTTTCTCCTTTTATATGGTAACTTCCAAGTTTTTAATGTTGTATCGGTGGGAAACAGGGATAAAGAAACAGTCTGGGACGTATGTTAGTTGCGTTCCACAGTACATAATTCTGCATGGCTGTTTAGGAGACGGAGCAAAGGATTCTACACTTGAACTACAGCAGTTAAGAGAAGAGGCCAGGTAGACACAGCATTGCCATCAAAATCATCACATGCCCAGAGTATTAGCCTTACACTTGTATTTTCAAAATGCAAACCAGATTCCCTACCCATCACTTAAGGTTCATAGAAGATACCATTTTCTGCAACAAGGTACTGAGAGGTGCAAACAAAGATTCCTTCCTCCAAAGCATCCATTATCCTTTCAGCAAACTAAACCCAACTTCTTCCTAGAATATCACAGCAGCTACTATAAAACACAAAATAGACTTACAGATACGAGTGTGCATGTTTTCATGGGGTGCTAAGGTTAGCTGCGATGACTTCCATCCAACCCAGCACAGCCCGGCAACTACCGCACTACAGGATGCTGCTAACACACACCCCACTGGAGGCACCACACATTCCCATCAACAGACATTCTCCATCCTCATATGCAACTTCCTTCTGCCTTCAAGTGATAAGAGACCAGAATACCCATTGACCCCCTTCCCATAGTGGAGAGGTTGCAGTTGTAACCTCAACATCCTTAGCAAGAGCCTGCACCACACTGGTGTTACATGCAGCTTTCCTATGGGTTCGATGTCTGGGAGAGCACGAGGATGTAATTCTGGGTTTTACTTTGCCACAAAAGCCATGCAAGAGCTCTGAGCTTCCTCATGCTGCTCTCAGCCAGAATTCCTCCCTCTCAACTTTCTCGCCTTCTCAGATCTCAAAAGGAAGCTGTTCTTAAGTGCAGCAAACAGCAGGCTAGGCAAAGGGGAAAGGAAACATGACATAGTTCCCTCTCTAGTGGCTGCTTTGCACAGATCACCGTTATCTTCACTTGTTCCACACTTGCTCTGTAAAAGCCCAGAATTAAAGTCTTAATCATGACTTACAGAAATCCTTGTGGCTGCACATGACACCAACATGACGGTTTTTCTTTCTAGAATATCGTCAGAAGTCACAGTTTAGGACAGTTCCCCGAGTAGGGAAGAAGCCATCTTCCCCTGTTTATTGCAAGCTGATTGTTAAAACCACACATATTATTTCAGAGCTAACTCTGAACAAATTCCACCTCTATGCAACACACGAACAGCAAACCAGACGCTGGTTAGATACTGAGAAACACGCTTTGAGGCCAGTTTTAAAAACAGATTCCCCTGAAAATGAGAAATATTTGCAAATAAGGTAAGAATGAATGAGGCTTCATACAAAACAGAAAACTGAACTTGCATATTAATTAAAATAGTAAGAAGTGACTCACTTGCAGGCCAGGGGCGCTGGTGGCTGTGAACACAGGCGGGCAGCTCACAGGGGATGGATTTCAGTTTGCATTGGCTATGTGTGTGTACCACTTTGACCTGTCCAATCACACTGCCAGTGGCTTGGGTTTGGTATTTAGCTCTTTGGATACTGAATTAAGGTCCCACCTATAGTGAATTTTTAACAGCCCATTTACAAACCACGTGGAGAAATATACAGCAAATTTGTATTTAAGACACAAAACTGGAGAGCTCTGTCTAACTGCACAGTGCCAGAGCTTCCTGCTGGAGCACGGACACACCAGCTCTTAGATACACATTTTACCATTTGTAAGGGCAAGATAAGACCTCCTTCTGTACTTAAGAGATATCGTGCAACGTACTGTAAAGATGAAAAGCATTCTAAGAACCTCAAACAGAAGCTGCAACGCACGTACAAAACCCTAACCAGCAGCAAATACAAGCCACCAGGTGAATACTGAAGAGCTGGACCAGACACTGGGATGATGTTTTCCTGCCAACCTTCCAAACCAGGCGCTGGTGCCCCCCTTGTCCTGACCCAGACTTAGTGTCCTTATCAATCCCCCAAGAAATGCAAAGGCCATCTCGTAACAACTCAACAGAAGAAATACATTAATTGTGAGCTACTATAAAAAGTCTTTGCTGTACTCAGTGCTTTCCTGAGAAGCATGAAACCCAGCCAGCTGCAGTGCTGGCAGTTCAAAACAGCCACAGGGAACGCAACACGAATGTGCAAGATGTTCCAAAACCTCTGTGCACCACAAGCACCAGAGGTTTTTGTCTGCAGACCTGATAGAACACTTCAGTGGGATCTCACCCGATTCCTTCAGATGCTGCCAACACATTGCCTGCATCCAAAGCTTACACACACAAAAGGCTTCTATTTCCCACAGTCAGTTTTACTGACTACAGGTGGGCAGGAGACTTTAGTTTGCTCCTGCCCATCCTTCCTCCTCTACACTTGCCTTTCCCTTAAGAAACCCCAAAACAAACCAACACCAGACACACAAATATACATAACTTGTATAGACAGGCCACAAGAGGCAGCTGTAACTGTACTACAGTCAGTGAGACATCCCTGTGCACGGAAAACACAACCTGGCTGTGTGGGCAAGAAGAGAACAAATGCTGCTACCACAGCCCAACAGCAAACACAGCACAAACCCACCCACATGAATGCTGAGCTGCTGATAACTTGGCCTGTAATAGCCCTGACCTCCATAGAGCATCTCACGCTAAAGGGCAGCACAGCCCCTGTGAACACCGTGTGAGACACGGTTACTCAGGCAATCCCCAAAGTATTGCTTGATTTTAACTTCCAGGCAACTTGTCTTTCCAGCCATGGAATTGCTACAGTCACCAAATTCAAAAGGTAAATTTTTCTACCTTCAATTAACTGCATTAGCACTGTTTGTAACTGTGTGATTGATAAATGCTCCACAATAGCTGTAATTAATGTATTTTTTTTCCTTGGAACACACACCAAACCCCTTGGCGCTCAGACACTTAATGAAAAGCAATTTAGCAACTTGCTTTGAATAGCTGAATCTGACTCCTTAGTGCAGAGAGAGAAACACACTTTGCTTTAAGCACTGCCACTGAAGAGGTACCACGTACTGTGACATTCCAAACGCCATCAGACACAGTGCAGATCTTCATCACGATGACAGCGACCATCTCATCTCATCTCACTGAGAAACTGGGTATGATTTAACATGGCTTAGCTGGGATCCTTTCCCTGGGGATGCAGCTGAGCAGGAGATGTGCAGATGTGCTTTGCCAGGATGGAGAGGTTTTTTTCAGGATACTGGACAGAGTTCCAAGTTCTGTGTGGCCAGGAGCTGCCTCACTGCTGGGAAGCAGCAGCTCAGTGTATTTCAGCCTGGACATGTGTTCAGCTGCTCACAAAGCAGACAAAAATAAAGTGCTTACAGAGTGTTTGAATGCTCATTTCTCAAATTGTGTTGCTTTTGTATAGTTGACATATGCAAAAAAAAAAAACCCAAACCAACCAGTATTTAGAAGGAAAGGGTTGACATCACAGGAAAATTCATGTGGGATTAACCAGCCTTCAAAGCCTAAAATCTAAACTCACGTTTCTGGGAGGAAAGGCTACAGATTTCCAAAGCAGAAACTGGTCTGTACTCCATGTGGCAAACTGAACCTAAGGATTACATATTCCCATTGCACATGTAAGTCTGCTTCCCATTCCTGCAGTGTCTTGCTCTCTTCCATTTGTCTTTTGATACAGATAAAAGCCAATGCAGATTGCAACTGCTGATACAGAGAAAGGCGCAAGACACAGTGTGCCTTTGGACTAAGGCAAAAGACTCGGGTCCAGGCTGCTAGAGCATGTCAAGAGATTGTCTTTGAAACTACAAAACTAGAAATGAAAGCGCTGCATTTGTATTTGATTTGATCAAAGGGACTGCAGGAGAGGGGGGGGAAATCACATCCTACAGATGCAGGCTAAAATTTAACTACTTCACACATAATGTGGGACCAGCTGATCCTATACAGACATAAATAGAGAGAGAAAACAAAGAAGTAAAGTCACTCTCGCTCTGAATACGCTGCTTCCACAGACGGCTGCTTCAGGGTCTGCCAAAGAGCAACAGGAACCCATTTCAAAGCCAGAAAGACAGAGGAAGCACATACCCAGCGCTCTCGCCATGGGCACACATTTTCAGTGTCCAGTGAAGAGTAGAGGAGTGAGCTCCTGTCAAATAAGAGAACACATACTCCAAATGAAACGGCTATTTGAATAAATAACTGATTACTCCCTGTGGGGCACTGCTCCACTGCTCTGACGGTGGGATGAAGGCAAACAGTGGCAATCTTCCGGAGGAGGGCTTTGGACTTCAAAGCTGCAAAGGGACAGGAATGTTATTCTCTAACGGAGCATCCACTGGGATACGTGCTCAGCACTGGGAGAATGAGGCTTTGCAGAAGTACGAGCTACACTACAGGCAGCAGCCCTGCAGATCCCAAGTAGCAGCACAGGAGAAAGAGATATCTATCACTGCCACGCAAGTGGCAAGGATTTACAATACCTGTGGGATAGGCTGTGTGCTCCTGGAAATTCCTAACTGCAGAAGGTGAACCATTTAGATGGCCTCTGGGCCGAAAGGATTGAGGTCTTTGCCTTTCACTAGAAATTAAGCAGAAGTCATTTTAAGGAGTGAGGCAGACAACAGTCTTGCACAGGAGATCAAAAAGCCCTCCAGATGTTTATTTGAAATGAAATTCAGAAGCCAGTATAAACCAGATTTCAAACACTCCATAATCCTTCCCATCATTTGCATGAGAAAAAACAGGGGAAAGGTTCCGTCCTGCTGCTCTGAAACTCTCCAGGAATGTGCAGGATTAGATTTTGTTCCTCGACTCTTCAGACGAGAATTTGAAATATGAAGAGCTCCACGCTGCAGTCTGATGGCAATTAAGCATGTTTCTCCCCTGTGCTATATGCGTTGATGGATGCTCAGCCCACACATATGGGGGCATCCCATGTGAAGGAAGCCTCTGACCTTCCTCCCCAGGACTATTCAAAATCATGGACTGAAAAGTGTCTAAAAACGTCAGTCCTAAATCTTCAACTTTCCTCTCCTCTTGCTACTTCACTGAATGCCTCCTGATTGTGCAAAAGCAGAATATTCAGGCATCAATCTAAGTAGCTTGGGCTGACAGTGTCTCTGGAGGGAGGAAGAGAAGACAGATTTCCAATAGCTCAGATGTAAAGAAAGCTGCTACACAGGAGGAGAGATAAATAAAGAGGGAAAGTAACACACCAGAGAACTTTTACCAAGGTCACATCAGGATGCTGAACACTACCCATCTGCAGGGGAAGATTTAAATGCCTATTCCACTACACATATCCATTCACCTGCTGGCAACAAGAGCCCTCAGTAAACCAAACCGGTTCTATCCATGAAAGGAGGACATTGGGAAGATGACACCAGCTAACAAATACAAAAGGAAAACCAACAGAGCTGGTCCTGGATGGGTGCCCTCCAGGGCAAAACACTTGGCATGACTGGGAAACAGGCAGCACAGGATGTGGCAGCCAAAAGGATGGACAGATCTGCTCTAATCAATGCTAAGGGCTCCCAGCTTGCAGCAGAGATCTGTACCCATCTGAGCACGAGCAGCACTGGGATCCCATCAGGAACCAGAGCTTTTTGACTCTGCTGCCTTGCAGGGTCATCTGCAGGTTGCAGTTCCTCATTGCTTTGACAGCAGGGCAGTGGACACGTGGCAGGATGCTGCAGACAGACTGTACCATGAAGAAAAAGCTCTGCCCCCAAATATTCTATCAGTTACTGCTGCGCCCTTAACAAGAGGGTTTCTTGCCCGTTTCAGCGATCTGAAAGACATGCTGGGCAAAATTTCAAGCTCTGACAGAGTGATCTTATCACTTCTGTGCTGTTCTCACTACACAAGCCCCTGATTCAGCAGCATGTAATAAAATCTTCATTTGCATGAAAAGCACTCTCTGATCACAAAGTCTTCTGTTCCACAGTCCTCTTCCCATTTACAGCATCAAGATGCAAGCACCGCAGTCATTTCTGCTGGTGACTAAGGTGGAATATTTTATTTATGCTTTATTTGGAGAGGCTCTCAACATTTTAATCCCATCTTTTCCTACAATTCTAACAGTATTTTTGACTAACACAAAAGCCGCACACATCCAAACTATGCAAGCACTGCAAAGTTCAGACTACGCTTTCACCTCCACTTTAAATAACCAAGCCACGTGAAGCACATTTCATATCAGCACACAGTGACCATAAGCAGTTCTAAAATGGTTTCAGCATTCAACAAGTCCAACCTTTTCCAGTTTGCATTTACAGTGTCATGACACACAGCATTGGTAGAGGATGTATTTCAGAGGATAGGAAGGTGTAGCCATGCAAAGAACAATGCTCTCTGCCTGCAACATGATTAATCTCTGTCATGGAAAATTAGTAAAATCAAATATCTCGTTATCTTCCCTTACAGAGAGACTGTTAAAGCTTAACTGTGCTGGGAAACTTTTTCCTTTGGACTAAATCACGAGCCTAATGTATGTGGGCAACACACATACCAGCATACGCAATTAACTGCCTCTCTCCTGATGCTGCAGCAGAAAGCCCACCAGTTCAGAGGCAGGCTGCAGCCTTCAACCAACCAGCCCTCACCCCATCAGAGCTCTCTCCCCAAGGCCAGCCTGTGCCAGGTAACACCACCTCCCATATTCACCTGTTTGCCAAAGTTAATCACATCCCACATCTACACCCCAAAACCCCACCTGGCTCAGAGCAAACTCAGCCAAAACAGAAATACCTTTCCTCACGTCAGCAGTGCAGTCCCCATTTAGAAACGTTTTCTTTCACGTTCATCCAGTGCCAAAACGTTATGATGTGTGTGTGCTGTGCTGATCCAGGAATGCTGCTACGGATGCTGCTGCCTCCTGTCTATCACCAAACGTCTCATCTAGCGCATGGCCATGCGACAACAGGCACTTGAAATTGGGCAGCTCAGCAACACATGTACACCGAATTTTTGAGCAAGCTATTCTAAGCTGCTTTGCTAGCACTTTCTGGCCTGTGCAGTTTGAAAGCACACGGTTCTGGCCCTCACAAAGAGCAGACCTGTAAATGACATCTTGAGGATTAAGCTGATTGAGATGCAATTTGCCTAGCAACCATTCATTAAGCAGAGTTCAGAAACGGGCCAGCAATCTATTCCACCTCCTTATCTGAGCAGTAAACAGATAACAGTCTCTACTGTGTCCTCTACCCTCTGGTTCAGACACATTGTAAACAGATTTTTCAGAAGTTTAAACTCCTACAGGAAATCCCAGAGAACAATCCTGCCCCCAAACGCGAGGGATTCCGTTTCACCAAGTCCCTTGCAAGCCTGGGGCAGCTCTAGAACGAGGACGATGCAAATCAAATTGCAAATGCATTTGCAGTTCCTGCGCCTCCAATATCTTCTCACACGAAGCACTAAGAGCCCATCCTAGTTGTTAAAAACTAAAATCTTAATCACACAAGCACTTGGCATTGCTATTCTGATCACTGCAAAGAACTCAATAAAAATCTTATTCCCTTCCTTCATCTTCTGGAAGGAATCGATTGGCACTTCCAATGTCTTTGAGAGAGGCTCCCCCCTTCAGAGGAGAAAACAAAAGTCACGTCCTCCCTCCCATTAAGTGTTTTTTCCCCTCATTAAATGAGCAAGTCAACGTCACGAGGGAAAATCAAATCAGCTACCCCAGCTTGAAGAGTTAAGCTGAGAAGGTTAAGCGAAATCATGATTTTGCATAAGTGTTTCCCTGCAAGAAACATCTGATGATATCCTGCTCTGCTCCAACATTAAACACCAAAGATTAGCGCGGACATATTTAAGACTCTCGACCTGAATGGTTTTCCTTTGGTGTACAGTTCTTCTGGGAAATCACTGTGACATACAGCATGCTATTGCAATTAAATATGCAAGAAAGAAGAATTAAACTGACTATGAATAATTAATACCCTACAATACTACTTCATAAGGGAAGTCTGGCTGAATATTGCTGCAGATGAGATGCACCTAAATACAAGGCACATCAGAGCTGGTAGCTTTATTTTTATGATGGAGTCTAAACCACTGAGTAACTTCATGGCTGCTACTCAATTCTAGACGAGCTGCTGGCCACTTGTGCCTCCCTTCTCCTACTTGCTGCCCACGGAGCTGCAGAAAAGGAAGAGAAATAATGCAAGCGTTGCAACAGTTGCTGCACTGCTCATGTAAGTGGTAACAGGCTTCCCAAACACTTCCCATTAGAAGGTATAAAGCAATTACCTGGCTTCCTAGTACAGAGAATAAAGCAAATATGATGCAACAATTACTGATGTGATAAGATCAGGTGAAGGTTGTGAGAAAAAACAATTAAAAAGGCTTGCAAGAGCTAAGGAATGCAGCTTATTTGCCCAGAATCTACCTTAATGAGAAAGATAGCATCAGCTCACAGAGCAGACCTTCCTGTTTCAAGCTTACTGTTTTGGAGGCTGCAGAACGTCAACCGTGGTAAAGCCACAGTTGGGTGGCTGGGTACAAACCCTCCATCTCCAGCACAACTCTCCTTTGTCAGTTCCTAGTGAAAACAGCAATTAAAAATACCCTAAATCACCTAAATTAATATTTACTGAAGTCCTCATAAAATTGGTATTCAACTCCTGGCATTTTCCACTAGGCACCAGTCAGGTCAGCTCTCTGCCGATGGACACACCATGCTCTTGTTGCACCCATTTACTTGGAGAACCTCATCTCCCCTCACTTTATCCAAGCAGCACAGCCACAAACACCACCCCGCTGCAGAGAGCTACTGTGAGAGATATACATTTGAAATCCAACCAACATTTGTGCTCATTGAAGCAGATCAGGGCATTACTACTGTATTAGCTGAAGGTGATGGCCCTACAAAGACACGAGCCCCTGCTCTAAACACATGTGCTCCGGCTCCCTCACTCCTGCAGGATCCAACGCTTTTCTCCTCCAAAGTAAATACAAATCAAAGGGTCTTTCTGCACACAGGCAAAGTCATGTTAGAAGTATGCTAGCTTAATATTAATTTCCTATTAAAAATTAATAGGATTAAATGAAGCCTGCAAGCCGGCAGGCACCCAGACAGTCATTTTGCCGATGCACTCGCTGGCCGGAGGAGCTGGATGCAAAGGATGGGCTGCAGTGTTCCTGCAGGATCCACATGCTGGCCAGGAAGGGTAGCAGGGGGCTCTTCCCCACATCCTCAATAGGACCCTGTGTTCCACCAGTGCTGTGCCCCTCTGTTGGTGAGCAGCTCATCCTCTTGTCCAGAAACTGATGGGGAACCCATGAAGATCATCCTGAGAACTCCAGCATCTTTTCGCTTCGGATCCAGTCTTCTGGCTCTTACCCTCACTCATCCGCACGTGTTCCCCTTTCCCACTGCTGGAATTAATCCCCTTGCCAATAAGCATCCTGCAAATACCCAGAGTTTACAGAAGCGAAGTTTAACCTTCGGTCCCTATTAATGTTAACAGAATAGGAAAAAATTAACCACAGCACAATGGAAAAAAACCTGTATCTGCATTTCTAATTATACAACAAAACACAGCACGTGGCAATATTTCCAAGCACCTTGCTGGGAATAAAATAACCAGTGGACTGCAACTTCCATTTTGAGCAGTGGATGTGAGAGCAACGGGCACCGAGGCTGTCAGTGTTAGGGGATGAGGATGCGAGATTTAAGGGAGATGAAGTGACATATGTAAATGATGGTAACAAAAATGCTCATAACTAGAAAACCAGTCACCTTAAACATTTAAAATTTCATGATCTCTCCTACTTTTTAATGGCTTAGCCTACTTTTCCCAACCTAATTTGCATGATCAAAATAGGCCTCCTGCCAGGAAGCATTAAAATGGCAGCCCCCCCATTGAGACCAAACTCCCTTCACCATACGAGACTGAAGGACTAATAACTATTCCTAAAAACATTTAAAATCCATTAATGATGTTTAGTAAACATTTATTTAGAATTAGTGCTGCTATTGGGATTTTCTTTATCTATGAAAGTGTTTTATGAAAGCCTTTGATGGAGGAGCAGGTACCCCTCAAACGCCTGCACCATCTCCAACCCTCTCCATAAAGCCAAGCATCCTCACGCTCCTGCCCTGCGCTGCTCTCAACATCCAAGAACCCCAAATCATTCTCCGGTATGAACCAGACAATTCCCAATGGCTGTTCTGGGAAGGAAGGGTGGGCAGCTGGAAGCTCCCCACTAAGATGCAAGGAGCAGCCAGGCTGGAGTTTACCAACCCCACCAACTTTTACACATGGTATCTAATTCTATATGCTAAAACCACCCCCACGCTAGTACCATAGTAGTATAAATCTCAATATTACCGAAGATTTGGATTCTGGTACAGATACATGGTGCTTTATACACATTTGCGCTATCCTTCCAGTGCCATCTGCACAAAACCAGGGTTTTAGCTAAGCGTTGGAAACTAAAATAAATCATTTCCTCCGTATCTGTGATCTAGCTGGAGACAGACGCCACAAGCCCGAGCGCTGGCTAGTGCAGGCTTGTCTAGTTAGAAACAGAATTATATCCGCATCAATGTGATTTATTTTTAATAAAAAATGAGGCAATCCAGACCCTTAATATCAGAGCAGTCTCCACCAGCACCCCCCAGCCCACAGAAAACATAATGCACGGTGTTAAACTGGCATCACCGCTTCCCCAACAAGAAACGCCCCAATCAAGAGATGCATTTTAATTGCCACGCCTAATGAAAAGTACCTGCTCATCCTCCACCTGCTGTATTTATTGCTATATAATACAGGACCACAAAGCTTGGCAGGGTGTTTTCTGGTACTGTTAGCTTTTTGGTGTATCTGGGCCCCACCAGAATTGTCAAGAGTGACCTCAGCCCCCCCAACACCATGCAATAAATGATCCATCTCTGTCCATTCTGCAGGAACCACTTGAGGTTCCAGAGCTGCATTTCTCGAAGCATCTAGTCCTGAGCATCCCCTGTGAGTGGGGACCTCACACCAAGTAGCACATTCTGATACTGGAAACTCAATGAATATAAACGCTGATCCCTCAAGACAGTACAACCCACAACTGGAGACATGTTACTCCCACAAGACCCATTGTTTCTACCTGTCAAAGTCACTAAAGGCTGGTATAAATAATTTATATTCTTCAAAAGCATTGCAAACAAGAAATTAATTTCTCCTGCTTGAATAAAAGAACCTTTTTGACCCTATATAGAATCACTGAAAACACCAAAACTGGTTTATTTTCTTACATAGAATTAACTTCTACCATCTGAACTCACTGCTGTGAGGTTGTAATGGGTTTTATTCAGCGAGCCAAGCCATCTAAACCACAGATTATAAACCCCAAACACTAAACATTTTTAGACGTAACTTTCCTCCACAGACTGTGTTTTATGCACTTTCCACTGAAAATGTTACCTCAGAATAAAATCAGATTTAATTGGCTCTTAAATAACTGAACAGGCACTTTAATTTTATTTCAACAGCGATAATTCATAAATCAAGCAGCTGAAATCCTCGCACAGAATGTCAAGCAAATAGAGCAGAACACACTGAAGGAGAGGATGAGCATCACATGGTGAAAGGTGATTTTTCTTAAGCCTCCTGCATCGCCATTTTATGGACATCACAAAGCTACTGCCACACTAAATACTGAAGAGCTAAAATCTGCCAGCTTGGAGATGCTACAGTTTATCAGCAGGGACTGCTTAACAAAGACCAACGGGTGAGGTGGCCCTTGTCCAACTGGAATTGCTTGGAGAATGTTTGGGATTTGAACTATGGATGCAATTTCCCTCACACACACTAGATGGAAGTATGTAAAATCTTAATTCTTCCCTCCTTTTAAACTGAAGTGGTTGCAATGTTAGGTCTTACTAACACGTTTTGAGAAGCCTTTTTTGGGTTCTTCAGTGGCAACTTCATTGATAATCTGCAAGAAGATGCTGTGAAATATTAAACCGGGTTGGAAATGAATAGTAAATATGAGAGGCTATACAGCAGAAATATTAAATATATTATTCAGGCTCATTTCCAAAGCAGATGCATTCCATTCCTAGAGTGTTTCAATGATGAGTTCTTTACTGTAAGGGTAGTAAGGCACTGGAATGGGGTGCTCAGGGAAGCTGTGAATGCTCCATCGCTGGCAGTGTTCAAGGCCAGGCTGGACAGAGCCTTGGGTGACGTGGTTTAGTGGAAGGTGTCCCTGCCCGCGGCAAGGGGGGTGGAACTGGATGATCTTAAGGTCCTTTCCAACCCTAACTGTTCTATGATTCTATAGTCACTCATGAGGTCCTTCAGAGAAATTGAATTTATATTTTGAAACATTCGGGCTATTTTAACAGAATAATCATTCTGAAGATTCTACCCTGCCACAGAATAGAAACAGGGAATAGGAAAGGTATAAAAAGCTTCATAAATGCTGCTGCAGTTTTGAGTAGGAAAAAAATCCCCAATTTCTAGATAATACTGGGAGAGGGATAGGGAGAAAGAGCAACCTAAAGCCCTGCAGAACAAGCTAAACTCGGATCAGAGCAACAGAGCAGGAAACCTGAAAGGGATTAAATTACACACAAATCTTCTGGAAAGGCTCTTAAAAGTGACTTGTTCCCAAACAAGCCATTTCTAAATTTAAACACTGAAGAGTTCACAGACAGGAAAACTCAGAACCAGGCAGTGGTGTGACCAGGAAAAAGGTGCTGGAAGAGATCTCTTCCCTTGCCTGCTTTGGCCTTTTCACATTGATTTTCCTCCACGCTCATTCACAAATGCTCAGCATAGCTGTGAACAATTTAAAGCCAGAGGATGTATGAATTACCAGCTCTAGGAACACATTACCCATTCCAGGCAGAAGATGGAAGAAAAATGAACCAACTCAGAATCAGAACAGGCTGATGAGCTGGAAGAGAAATAAAGGCAAGGAAATACCTGACTTTTCCTGTCCACAATGAAGCCAAAGCACGCGATATTCCTCTAGCTTAGAAGGCAAAAAGATTAAGACAGAGAGTGACAGAACAGGATGAATCAAGAGCAAGAACAATGAGAAGAACAATAAAGTAGGCATG